CCTTCACCTGTCTCTGCCATCCATCACGACCCTCACTACTGCAGTCAGACTGAATCTGATCATGGATGAGAAAGGGGTATCAAGGCTATTGTCCGAGTACACAGAGGGGATGAGGAAGACCATGATGATGCTCCTGATCCACACAACCCTGAATAAAAGCAGGAGAATATGTGAGGGACAATCTGACTGTCACTCTGTCTGCTCCAAACATTTGTGTGCTGCTCTCCATGAGCACGACTATCTGTAAAACATTTAAACAGAGTAAAATATTTTACAATTTATATTGTCAGCATTTAATTTCATATGTTTACAATTACATGCTAATTTTTGTCATAGCTTCATTACTTTTGTGGTGTAGTGGGATAAAGCACTGCACTGATCAGCAGAAGGTTACTGGTTTGATCTCCACAGTCATCACCACCGGTGTGTCCTTCAGCAAGGCTCTTTTCTCCAGGTTGCTGCTGGGGATTTGGGGTCCCTGTAATAAGAGCACTGTAAGTCACTTCGGATAAAAGTGTCTGACAAATGAATTTTTGTAATGTGAAATGTGATTTTTGTAAATCCTTTTTTGTGTCTTGGGCACAAACGCTCAATAAAGCTGCTTGTTTCTTAAAGTTTATTTCTTCAAGGTACTACTATAATATAAATGCTTACATATATTTCATAAAGTTTCTATTTGGGGGGTTTAAAGGGTTAGTTCATCCAAACATAAATTCAATCATTATTTACTCGCCTCACTGTTCAATCCTTGTTTTGTTTTTCTGAACACAAAAGTTGATTTTAGTTAAGTTTGTCCTGCTGGTTTCTGTTCATACAGTATCAGTCGATGGGAGACTGACTTTCAGAGGCTTCATGACATTATTTGATGATGCTTTTAAAGCTTCTAAAACTCAGGTTTCATTGACTGATGTTGTATGAACAAGCCACCAGGACAAACGTGACCAAATTCACATCCTCAGTGTCTTTTGGTTTTTCTGTAGATGCTCTCGCTGGCTCTGGGGTCACTGAGGATGAAGAGACCACAGCAACATCTGGTCCAGATGAGACAGTAAGAGGTGGAGTGATGGAGCGTCTCTGTTACGGGGCGAACGAGACATGAGACTTGCGGATCCATTTGCAAAGCTTTAATAGGAGACATAAAACAGGCATGGGTCAGACAATGGCAAACAGGTATATTAAGGGCAAGACAGAAGAGTAATCCAAAATGGGCGTGGTCGATAAGCGGCTAACAATATCCAGAGGGCTTGACATGAGGGGTTATCCAATAACACGAGCTAGAGTCTAGACGAGGTGCAAACACAGTCCGAAACCGCAGGCAAAGGGTTAACTCAAGATAAACAGGCAAAAATCAGGTACCAGGAAATCAGAAAACACGGCGAGACTAGACTAAGACTAGAACTAGGAACTACAGGGAAAAGGCTCCGTAAAGTAGCTATCACACAATGAGCGATAAGCGCTAAACAATACTCGGCCGTTTGAAAGGGATCTGAGTGAGTGTTATATAGTGAATGTGTGATTGGTTACAGCTGTGTGCAATTAGTGCAATGGATGATGGGATATGTAGTCCGGGATGACATGCAACAGTTTGTGTAGTGTGAGAGTCAATGTAATGGAAGGGTGACCTCTGGAGGTGATCGAACGGAAGTCCATGGACAGGATTCGTGACATAGCCGGAACAGGGGGAGGGACGGAGGGCCAGGTCCACGTGGAAGTGGAGATACCGGGGACTGAGGCAGGACCAGCGGAGCAGGGAGCCAGGGCGGAGCCGGCAGTACAGATGGAGCAGAAGACCACCAAAGCCAGACAGCAGACCACCACGGCGGAGCAGAAGACCACCTGAGCCAGACAGCAGACCACCACGGTGGAGCAGGCAGAGCAGAAGACCACCACGGCAGACCAGGTGGAGCCGGGACCCATGGCAGAGACTGGGGCCTAGAGAAAACAGAGACAGACAACACAGGCAGTGCATTCCTGGTTTCAGGGACCAAGGCAGGGAGCACAAGAAGTTCATCAATGTTCTCTATGGCAGTGACAGAGTTAAAGGGACAGACATGGAGTGCATTATTATTCTCTGGGCTCATGACAGGTAAGTTTAAGGGTTCAAAGACGGGGTTTTGGGCTGTGACAGACAGACAGTTTCCTCAAGAGTGACTGGACAGACAGACAGTTCAGTTTTAAATTCCTTGACAGAAACGGGCAAGACAGACAGTTCGAAATCAGACACCTTAGTTGAGACGAGACAGACAAGACTGTTCACAATCAGCCACCAAGTCTGTTTCAGAACATGGCGAGAGTTCAGAGATAGCCTCCTCGGCCGGTTCAGAGCAGGATAAAAGTTCATAAGTGGCCTCCGTAGCCTTGACAGGACAGGCAGAGAGTTCACAGACGGCCTCCATAGCCATGACAGGACAGGCAGAGAGTTTGCAGACGGTCTACATAGCCGTGACAGGACAGGCAGAGAGTTCACTAACGGCCTCCATAGCCGTCACAGGATGGGCAGAGAGTTCACAGACGGCCTCCATAGCCGTCACAGGATGGGCAGAGAGTTTGCAGACGGCCTCCAAATCCATGACAGGACGGGCAGAGAGTTCACAGACGGCCTCCATAGCCGTGACAGGACAGGTAGTGAGTTCATAGATGGCCTCCTTGGCCGAAATAGAACAGGACGAGAGTTCATAAGTGGATACCACTGACACCTCTGGAGGTTCTGCAGCGGATGCTGCCACCTCTGGAGGTTCTGCAGTAGGACCATCAGGATACGGGGAGAGTTCAATAATGGTTCCTTCGACTGTGACATGACAGGCTGAAGGTGCATTGCTGGGCGCCACCTCTGGAGAAGCTACAGCGGGCGCTATCGCCTCGGGGAACATGGCAGCGTGCACCACTACCTCGGAAGGATCTGCAGCATCAGCCGCCACCTCGGGAGACATCACAGTGGCCGCCGCCGTCTCTAAAGTTTCAGTGGTGGTGTATGCAGCCCAAATACACCATAAAGCGATCCCCATTGTGGGGATCCCCCTGCGCTACAGACAGGGGAAATAGTTCAGGAACTGGAGGGCTTAAGAGTGCTGGTTTAGAGATACCAGCTGCACGTGCCGACAACAGTGGTGGGTCCTCCATGCTGGATGCCAGTCTGGGATACAGATGAACTGACCTCGGACTTCTGGGTGCAGGAGACAGGAAGTAACCGGACTCTGGATGGCCAGCTGTGATGTGATGTGTCTCTGGATGATCAACTGTGATGTGACGTGTCTCTGGATGATCAGCTGTGACGTGACGGGACTCTGGATGATCAACTGTGATGTGACGTGACTCTGGATGATCAACTGTGATGTGACGTGACTCTGGATGATCAACTGTGATGTGACGTGACTCTGGATGATCAACTGTGATGTGACGTGACTCTGGATGATCAACTGTGATGTGACGTGACTCTGGATGATCAACTGTGATGTGACGTGGTCGAGGCTCTGGCAAATCAGCTGATACTTGACTTGACTCAGGAATGGAAACTGTGACTTGACTCGTGACTATCAACTGTGACTTGACTTGACTCGTGACTATCAACTGTGACTTGACTTGATTCATGAAGATCGGTTGTGACTTGACTCATGAAGATCGGTTGTGACTTGACTTGACTCATGAAGATCTGTTGTGACTTGACTTGACTCATGAAGATCTGTTGTGACTTGACTTGACTC